AACTTATCAAATGGCATAAATCCATGTTCATCACATAAATCCTTTACTGTCAATAAGCCCTTATCCGCCCAGTGAATAATAACATGGCAAGGGTTTTTATAATAGTGATTGAGCCATAATGGTTCTGCAAGAATGTAATCAATATTGTCAGAATCAGCATTGAACTTTTTGCAATAATTGTTCCATGCTTTTAAAACATCTTTCCAATAAAGGTTTTCAATGTTGAGTATTTTGTCAATATTTGCTCCATACTTGAAGATATCATTATAAGGTATATTACAAGGATTATTGTCGGATGATTGTTTACAGTAGAGCCTAAGAGTGGATAATTTTAGAGCTTCAATAAATATTTTTATATCTACCATACCCAGTCCCCCTTCAGTCTTTAATCTTTTCATTGTGGTTCTTTTTATTTTATCATTTTTATCATTCCAAATGAATTTGAAAAATATCTTTTCAAGGGATTTAATAAAGTCATCTGGAGGATTGGGCAATGAACTGAAAATATGTACTAATTTTGAAAGGGCTAATGTTTTTATGACAGTGATTTTTCCTATCAATGTCGAATGTCTTTTCTCCATACTGCTAATAATCTGTTTATTTCTTCCAGTCTTTTCTTGTATTAATCACCCATAGATCAGCAAGGTTAGGGGTAAATTTGATTCCCAGAACATCAAACTCTCCATTATACCATTCAATTTTCAAACTTTTACATAATATTTCTTCACTGCCTGCCTTTGAGCCAATCCAGATAGCTTTAGTCTTATCTATATTTATTTTCAGACCTGACATCTTATAAAAAGTATTGATTGTTTCAATAGCTGCATAAAGTCTCTCATCTATACCATCAAGAAATAATTCGGTATCATCAGCATATTGGCCTAACTTGTATTCTTTATCATCAATAACAATGCCTTTAATTTTATCATTATTTCTTATCATACATCCCAAGATTTCAGCTACTAAGAGGAATAAATATGGTGATAAGGGATCTACAATAAAGTCTACAACCCCTTTCATTTACAAAAAAGTCAGATAAGTGGCCGTTTTGTATCACGCAAGAAGTTGTGTGATATGTTAGTAGATTAATCCAGCGTATTATTTGTGGACCAAATCCAAACTTCTTAATGACTGAATTGATGAAATCTTTTGAAACTGTGTCAAAAGCTTTTTAAATATCAATTAGAATAAGTAATCCTGGCATATTTCTTTTTTTCGTTTCAAACATGATGTCATATAATAATCTTGTATTTTCACTAATAGTTCTACCTGGAATAAAACCTGTTTGGTTTTCATGTATAAGTAAATCTAAAGTCTTTTTTACACGGTTTGTTATACATGCACTAAGTATTTTATACAGGATGAGATAACTAATGTAGCAGATCAGGCAGAATGTGTATATATATGTGATCATCATGAGGTTACATGTTGGCCAATAGCACAATGTTATGAAGAAAGGGAAGACTGTGATAACTAATGTAGCAGATCAGGCAGAAGGTGTATATATATGTGATCATCATGAGGTTACATGTTGGCCAATAGCACAATGTTATGAAGAAAGGGAAGACTGTGATAACTAATGTAGCAGATCAGGCAGAATTTGTACATATATGTGATCATCATGAGGTTACATGTTGGCCAATAGCACAATGTTATGAAGAAAGGGAAGACTGTGATAACTAATGTAGCAGATCAGGCAGAAGGTGTATATATATGTGATCATCATGAGGTACATGTTGGCCAATAGCACAATGTTATGAAGAAAGGGTAGACTGTGATAACTAATGTAGCAGATCAGGCAGAAGGTGTATATATATATGTTATCATCATGAGGTTACATGTTGGCCAGTTTTATTATTGGCAGTGAGCAAGGAAGCCAGATGCCTTTACAAAGTGTCATCGGTGCCCATAATCCTTCATTTCGATTGGGCTGTCCAAGTTTGCTCTTGATTCAAGTGATCTTTGCTTAGATGGCTATTGTATCCAATTTCTGATTTTAATGAGACTGTGTTGGTACAGACCAGAACATCTTTACGACAGATATTAGTTTAAACATATTTTATTCACAATGTGAAAAGGATCGGGGACAAGTTCTTTCAACTTATTAAACCCCTCTCCGAAGATATTTACAATAAATAATTACATCACAAGCAATTATTAGAAACAGAGACATAGATAGACTGAAAGATAACAGGGGCAAATGCTATAATACAAAAGGTGTATACAGAGAAGACTACTGGAATCGTTTAGATTTGCATATATATTGATGTACATTTTTTAATATAATTTCATTTTTTGATTTGTCAGATCTGCAATGCCGTTTAAAATAACAGATAATGTAATCACAGAATTACTACCACATACATCTTGAATAGCTTGAAGCATGATCTTTCTATGTTGATTGTGTAAAGAACATTCTAAGAAATAGTGATGAGCATTTTCGCATGGGTTTCCACATGCGCAGGATGGATAAGTGATTAGCCCTACTCTGTACAGATCGTAACTTAATCTACTAGCTTCATGACGTAGTTGAGTATGTAATATGTTAAATTTTCTAATACCGTAAGAACAGTACAGTGGAGCTGAGTTATATGATGTTATTATGCTCGATTTAAACTTTGATAGTGAAGTACAATTTCTTACATCTGTAGGTAGATTGTTCCACAATCTTATAGTTGATTGGAAGAACGACTCATGAGAATGTTTTATTCTTGTTCTTGGCAAGCAGATATTGCCTGAATTTCTTAGACTATATTGACTCCTGGAGCCAACGTTCTGAGGAATTATTTCTTTTAGGTAGATTGGACTTTTGTTGTTTTGAATATTGTAGAACAAAGACAATTTTCTTATTCTTCTACGCTTTGATAGTGCTTCCATGCCTCTTTCATAATATAGTGAATTAAAAGAAGAATATTTGGAAGGTCCTGTAATAATTCTTGCAGCTTCCATCTGGAGCCTTTCCAATTTTAAACTTAGTTCTTTTCCGCAGCCATCCCAGACTTCTCATGCGTACTCAAAGTGTGGTCTTATAAAAACTGTAGTAAATCTTTAGGAGTGTATTTCTGTTAAGAATATATTTAAGTTTTCTCATTGAGTAAATCATTTTAGAGGTTTTGGAAACAATATTAGATACATGGGAGGACCATTTGCCGTTCGATAAAAGTATTATCCCCAAATGTTTATGATGTTCTACCGTTTTAACAATCTTATCGTCAAATAGTAAGTTAATCGAGCAAATATCATCTTTAAGTGAGAAAAGTACTGATTCTGTCTTATCTGGGTTGTATGATATCAACCACTTGTTTGCCCAGTCGTTTAACCTTCTGAGATTTATGTTTATTGAGGTTTCTATTCTGTTAAGATTTCCAGAAGCCTTGCCTAATGATGTGTCATCTGCAAATAGTCGCGTTATGCAATCTAAGTCATCAGCAATATCATTTACATAAACAATGAATAAAAACGGACCCAACACTGATCCTTGTGGGACGCCAGCTTGGAGTAACCTTGGTTTAGACAGGGCTCCATTATGAAAGACCTTTTGATAGCGATTACATATGTAATTCCATAACCACTCTAACAATCTACCTTTAATACCATACATTTCCAATTTATGTATAAGCCCTCCCTGCCAAACACGATCAAAAGCCTTCGAAACATCACAAAAGACCATACAATATTGGTCCTTATCATCTAGAGCTTGGCATATTTGATGATATATTTCAATTAATTGATGGACAGGTGAACTCCCAGCTTGAAAACCAGCTTGGTATTTGTACAATAACTTGTTCTCGTTGAAATAGTTAGATATATGCTTGAATACAGCTCTCTCAAACAGTTTACCGACACAACTTATTAGAGATATCGGTCTGTAGTTTGATACTTTAGTTTTGTCACCTTTCTTGAATACAGGCATTACATGTGCTAATTTCCATTCTGATGGATACACCTCTTATCGTAATGACAATTAAAAAAGCAAACATAATGGCGCACTTATTGAATGAGCAGTTTCTTTTAAAAGCTTATGACTTATTCTGTCACGACAGATATTCATGGACATGTCTTCAGCTCATACCTCCTTTGGTTGTGTCTCAGCATAATACATGGTTATCTGTGACATTCGGCACGCATACCATACTTGCAAAGTGATTCCAAATTCCTTGTGAAGGTGCGTAGCTGCTGATATACCGTAAATCATCCTCGAGTGTCTAGAGGAATATATCCATCATAATAAATTCTTTGGACCCATTTGCCTCGGTTACCTTGTTTTAGAATCAATATCACCAACTCCATCTCCATGTCTCTATATATCGAACATAGCATAGACTTTGCATCATTCCTAAGAGTAATTTGACGGGAATTGCCATTTAGGATAAACATAGTGTGAGCGTTAGGCTTTAAAGAAAATAATTAAGAACTATTATTATTTCGTTATATACTTCTGAGTTTCCAACACAGTATGTTTATCGTCATTCTACCATAACCGTGTTATTAAGATTTAAAAAAAATATAACACGATTATATACCTCTGAATGACTTTAAATAACCAGTCACAATCCAGTATGCAGAGATGCCAACCCTCCTGAATTTATCGGAATCATCCCGAAAAATGCTTGCCGATTCCGCCATTCTGAAAAAGCCAAATTCATTCCGATTTTATTTTCAAAATATAACAAAGATATAGATAGTCTTACTTACTGGAGGGCTAGGATTATCTTTGACTATAAATAATGATAATTATATAAATATAACACTTTATTTATAGAAGTTGTATGTTTACACATATAAAGTAATCCCGAATTCGAAGTTGACTAGGCTGCCTGATAAATTCCAGGCACTCTTTTTTTTATTCACTTAACAAACACTGCTGCCGAGTACTGGAAACCGATTTGAGTTGTTTAAGGATCGCTGTGTTTAATGGCATTGAAAAGTTTCGTTCCTTAAGTCCAACCCGTTTTCTCATCATTGATGGTGCAAAAAGTGTCATTCATTAGCATATCCAAATGCCGTCCGCAACCATTGCCACACTGATAAAAGTTAATAGTGCAACATATACAGGTGAGCTGTTTTTTATTTGCGTAAACAGCAATCATAGGATTTTTATTAGTTTTTTGTCTCCGAAAAGACAATTTATAGTGATCCCTAATTTGTTGGGGAAAATTTTTTTTTTCTATCCTAGGGATCTCAGATTCCTAATTGCACCAATTTGGGATAGCCATATCTGAGTATGTACTGAAGTCATGGTAGAATTTGCATTGGGCTATTTCGATTCTGCCTCTAAACAAAGCAATGGTGGCGAAATGGGTGCGAGGTTTTAAGTCAAACAGAACAATGTCAACTATTCACATTATTATGGTTATGCATTATTACCTAGAACAATGATAGACTGTAAATCATGAAACTAATTCCAAGAGTCAGCTGTACACATTATTATAGTTCTGCATTATTACCTAGAACAATGATAGACTGTAAAATCATGAAACTAATTCCAAGAGTCAGCTGTACACATTATTATAGTTCTGCATTATTACCTAGAACAATGATAGACTGTAAATCATGAAACTAATTCCAAGAATCAGCTGTACACATTATTATAGTTATGCATTATTACCTAGAACAATGATAGACTGTAAATCATGAAACTAATTCCAAGAGTCAGCTGTACACATTATTATAGTTATGCATTATTACCTAAAACAATGATAGACTGTAAATCATGAAACTAATTCCAAGAGTCAGCTGTACACATTATTATGGTTATGCATTATTACCTAGAACAATGGTAGACTGTAAATCATGAAACTAATTCCAAGAGTCAGGTATACACATTATTATAGTTATGCATTATTATCTAGAACAATGGTAAACTGTAACTCATGAAACTAATTCCAAGTGTCAGTTGTTCACATTATCATAGTTATGCATTATTACCTAGAACAATGATAACCTGTAAATCTGGAATATACTGTCAAGTTTTAGCTGACCATGTTAGTTTAGTTATAATCATATTCATTTGATCTTCAGTAACCCATGCTTGTAAGAGGCGACTAACGGGATCGGGTGGTCAGACTCGCTGACTTGGTTGACACATGTCATCGTATCCCAATTGCATAGATCGATGCTGATACTGTTGATCACTGGACTGTATGATCCAGATTCGATTATTTACAGACTGCCGCCATATAGTTGGAATATTGTTGAGTGTAGCCTGAAACTAAACTCACTCACTCACACTCACACAAATATTTTATCTTGACTGAAATATATCTACCTGTAACAAAAATCCAAAGACACACAATTCTCCTCGACCTCCCTTAATATTGAAAACTTTGTCCATAATACTTACATAATGCTTCCATGATGCATTGTTTCCATGTGTTACAGGTAGTTGCAAGGACTTTGTGACCGGAACCAACTTCCTGGTGTACTGCAGCCACTTCCTGTCAGCATGGGTGAGTGAGGCATTTCTGAAGAATTTCCAACCTGACCCAAACAAACATTTGTGTTTGGAAGTCCCTTGGGCTTTGTAGCAAGGGCATCGTATACAGGCATTGTTTCAGGGAGATCGGATGATGGCATTACTTCATATAATTTAAATGCAGGCATTATTTCTAGACGGTTGTATGCGGATATTTTACACAGAGGTTGTTTGCGGGCATTGTGTCCAGGAGATTGTATGCATCATTAATCAGGCAGGGATTGCCTTAGGCTCCAGAATATTGGAGTCAGCTTGACTCCCTCTCTGTCCTCAAAGGAGTCGTGTGCATATAATAAGGCATAATGTTTTTAAAAAAATGTGTTTTTATTCGAAAAATAGAAGATTCAGAAGATTAATAATTAATTATATCCATGTCAGTATGTTATTGCACATAGAGGTCTTCAAATTGAAATTAAGATGAAGTCAATTTGTATTAATAAATTAAAGCATTCCATTCGGTTGGCATTTGTTTAGGGAGATCGTATGTGGGCCTTTGGTGTTGGCCTGTTCCTGATCAAGATTTCACCAGAATCCCTTCAGTTGACTGCATCATATGGGCTGGCTTCAGGACTTTCTGTTCTCTTACTGGGGGCCCTGATAGGAGACTGGGTAGACAAGACACCACGACTCAAAGGTGAGGTTCTCCCTAGGTAAAAATATACACGAGGTAGACAAGACACCACGACTCAAAGTTAAGGTTCAACCTAGATAGACAACATGTCATGACTCCGAGGTGAGGTTCATCCTAGGTAAACAACACACCACAACTCAAAGGTTAGATTCTTCCTAGATAGACAACATACCACGACTCAAAGGTGAGGTTCTTCTATGGTAGACAACACAACACGACTCAAAGATGACGTTCATCTTTGGTAAATGGCACATGTTCAAAACACAACTCTGTTATCATCCCAGCCAGTGGATAATCCTTCACATCAAGCTAAAATATTGTTCCAAGCTGCATTAATCCAATCTGTGTGTCTATTCCAGCTGCGCAGCTGTCCCTGGTGCTGCAGAATCTGTTTGTGGCTCTGTGTGCGGGGGTCGTGTACGTCAACCTCACCTACCACGAGGACTTTATCACCATGTGGAGCGGGTGGCTGCAGAAGCTGGGGTCAGCGGTCATCATCATCCTGGCTATCTTGGCCAACCTGTCTAGTGTTGCTCGGGTGATCGCCGTCGAGAAAGACTGGGTAGTTGAGATCTGTGGCAAGGATAAAGACATGCTAGCAAGTAAGTAGTCAGACTAGAGCGCAAGGGCGTGGAGTCATCCCATAGCTGACATCTTTAGCTTGCTGACAGGGTTATCCTCTTTGGTCATGTGGTCAATGCGCAAAACTTCAGATCAGAAGGTCCATGGTTCGAATACCAGCCCAGGACTCATAAATTGTACGCCCACTACACTAGCAAAAACTGATTAGTTTGGCATCATTTCATGAATTATGTCCCTTAGCTGTATCAGGATCAGCTGTGTTTGTCAGTAATAAGGAATTATCTAACACATATTCCTCAGTCTGTTGGGACAACAGTCTCATCATTGTGAGATCGTTTGCTCTTTTGAGATGCTTCTCTACATGAAGATTTGAGGACATTTCCACAGAAGGTCCCTAATCCTATGCCTTTTTACAGAGAAGATCAAATGGTGGACCACTAAGAAAAGTCTACATTATACACCAATTGATACCCATAATCTATTAATCTTAGGGAGATCCAAGATTGTCCAAGATTGTGTATTTAATCTATGTGCTATTTCTCAATCATAGAAATGACTGCTACATTGAGAAGAATTGACCTTGCAACACAGATTTTGGCTCCAATTGCAACCGGCCAGATAATGTATTTCACGGAGATGAGGATTGGTGCCGTGTTCATCGGAGGCTGGAATGTCGTAACAGTGTTCCTAGAGTACTACCTTATGTGGAAGGTCTACAACACGGTGCCGTCTCTGTGCAAGAAGAAATACTGGACGAAAAGTGACAGTAAGTCCCACTATATTTCAGAAAATTACTAATTTTTCCTTATCCTGACTGATTCGTTATTGCTTATCTCCCTTTTCTTCCGAGATGTTGTGGAAACCTCTGTCCTATTGTTCCCTAGTGAACAGTCTAAAATTAGTTCACCTGAACTGGGCCTCTTCCCTTCCCGCGCCAGCATCCCACGTGAATATAGGCTGCTTGTCACTTTCTCCATTTTCGCCCACTTACAACCACTAACGATACAGTATCTAGGAACCCTCAAACTAAAACTAACAGAAGCCATCGACTCACTGTTAAAGAAGAAAGCCATATAGATTATTCAGTCAGACAAGGTAGTCCCAGGGTTTTACTCACTGAACTTCCTGGTGCCAAAGAATAACTCCACAGAAAAGTTCGTCTAATATACAACATGAAGAAGTTCAATCTAGACTACCTGCTTAAACCCAAGAAGTTCAAGATTCTGCACCTTCTGGACTTAAGACGTTTCATAAAGCCCGACGACTTCTTGGCGAGCATAGATCTGCAGGATGCATAGCTTCACATCCCCATCAATCCAGACTCGCGAAAGTACCTGCAGTTCATATACAAGGCTCAACACTACCAATGGAAAGTCCTGTCCTTTGGAATATCTTCGGCACCATGGTTATTTACTCATGTGACCAAACCCTTCGTGACCTATCTACATCTAAGAGGAATTTGAAAGCGCCTTTTATCTGGACGACGGCATTAAGACTCACCAACTAGCAGATCTACTCAGACAGCTGCTAGACTTTACCATTCGCCTACTAACGCAGCTGGGTTGGTTAGCCAATAGTCTCAAGTCGGAGTTTGAACCATCTCAAGATCTGAAGTTCCTGGGCATCAGGTTTCTGATGGCATATAATCGCATCAGGGTTCCAGAAAATCGATGGCAAAAATCCATGGATGTCTACCGTAAGCAATCACCTCAGTCCTACCGCTCAGAACCTGGCCAAAATAAATCCTCGGCTTACTCACATCACAAGCTCATACGGAAAGAGGCAAACTTCAGCTGAGACCAATCCAGAGGTTCCTAAGACCATATCTAGATCAGCAGGATGTCTTGATATCAATACCTCTACATCTCCAGTGGTGGAAGGAGGAATTGAACATCTGCAAAGGCACCTATTTGCAAGAGACAGCTTACACCGTACATCTGTATATATTGACGCCTTACTTCAAGGCTGGGGAGCACACCTAGGAGCGGAAGTAACGGCGGGAACTTGGTCCGCGCAGGAACAGGATCGCCACATGAACCTGCTAGAGTTCAAGGCAGTCATCTGAGCGATTCAGCACTGGTCTCATCTCCTCAGAAATCAATGCCTGATGATACGAACAGAAAACGCAACTGTAGGCTTCTACTTCAATCTACAAGGCACAACGAGATCGGCTCCACTGAGAGAACTAACCTTTAACGTCTACGAACTCATAGACAGTCTGGACATGGGAGTGAAAACCAGACACATCCCAGGCACAGTCAACATATTAGCAGATGTTCTGTCCAGACCAAGCAAACCATCTCCTATGGAATGTATGCTACACCCAGCGGCCCTTCAACTACTTGTGAAAGAACAGGGATGCTCACTCACAGACCTATTCGCGACAAGGTTCAACAGGCAGATAAAGACCTTCGTCTCACCAGTTCCAGACGCCCTGGTCCTGGGACGGTCTTCGCGACTACGAATTCCCACCTCCAGTCCTACTTCCACGAGTCATAAGGAAGATGACTCAGACAAGGAACATACAACTGGTTTTGGTGTGCATTACGGGCCTGTACGAACGTGGTTCCCAGGCCTCATCAGACTTCTAGGAAAACCAAATCTTCGACTTCCAAATTGGCCGAATCTACTGATCCATCTGCACTCAAAACAGGTTCACACAAACCCCGAAAGCTTCCAGTTACATGCATGTAGCGTATTACGAACTGTCTCACCAAAAGAGGATGCTCTACCAGAGCAGCCAAGGCCGCTACCTTAGCACTTAGACGTTCTACAAGGACTCTTTATGATGACAAGCAGAAGAGTGATCAGTTTGCAGAGCAGAAAGGGTTCGCGGCAACCACGCTACACATCAAGTGGCGGGAATACTTGTGTCGTATGAGAACCACCAGACACCTGAAGAGTTCTACATTATCTACCTACCAATAGTCTGGCAGAAGACTATTCGTGACGGTGTTTGGTCGGAACAGTGCATGGTGTCACTACATTTGCACGGCCAGATGCATTTGGCTGTTCCAATTTGTCGCCTAACGCCCTTAGGCAGTTAAGATGGTATTGTGTCTTGACATAATGATAGCTTATAACGACCACTTTCTTATTATTAAATCATAATTCATGAAATTCAAAATTCACAATGGTAGAACAATTATAATGCGTCATGCCAAATTAGAAAACGAGTGTAATTGTAGTTTTTGAGTAAAGTGACCAAACACCAAGACGAAAAGACTATACCGGCCATCAGTTCAGTTGACACTATGAACACGGGTGTGAAACTTACCAAGGTTCCAGAACTTGTCGCACTGCTGTGATCCTTCAAGCTTGAAGATTAACAGAGGAAGTTTAAGACACCAGCATGAGACTTGAACATAGTCCTTCAATACTTATCCAGCGACGACTATGAGTCATTACAGCAAGCAGACTTTAAGATGCTAACTAAGAAGACACTGTTCCTGCTCGCACTTGCTACAGCGTCCAGAATGTCAGAGATCCATACGATAGACTACAATCGAACCAGATTCGACACGGGCGATGATCCAGTAGTTCATCTCAGGCTCAGATGGGACTTTCTCGCGAAGTACAAACTACCAGGACAACAGGATAGACAGTTCCATATCCCGGCATTATCATCCGTCCTTGGATCAGATGACACACAGGACCTGTCCTTATGCCCAGTCAGAGCATTGAATATCTATCTGCAGATAACTACTGTGAGAAGGAGAAGGTTCAAGAGACTCTTCATCCTGTTATCAACCGCCGCAGCAACAGAAGCCTCCAGAACAATATCCTTCTGGCTGAGAGCAGTAATACTGAGGACATACAGAGCAGCAGGACTGGATCCAACCTAGAACCTCTAACCCCCATGAAGTGAGAGCCATGGCATCCACGCTAGCCCTACACGGCAACTGCTCCATCTCATCTATCACGGAAGGATGCTTCTGGAGATCAGACTGTCTTCACGAACCATTATCTGAGGGCCATTGCCACAGAAATGTATCCGGTATCCATCATTTTGGCCCAATGGTAGTGGCACAGCAGTTGACAGTCCTGGCTAGACGATAATGACTCACCCATAATCACGTAGACTCAGAGACGTCAGGTTACTGTTCCATACCCACCGACAGAGAGTCCATGCTCCCCTGCTTTACAAGATAAAGCAGCGCATGAGTGATACGATTCAGTTAAGAGTACGCCCTCTTCTTAAGATATGGATCAAACTGAGATAAGCGGGAATCCAATTCTTTGCGAATCTTAAAAATCCACGAAATCTTATGTTCCACTCTTTTTTTAATAAAGAGAAGTTGGTTCCCCATTACAGAATGCAGCGTCAGAAGAGTTCGGATAGGAGTTCCCAGGGGATGGATCGAACACTTTTAAGAATCCAAACAAGTGGCTGACCCACCACCTATTCCGTTGGATTCAAGCAATAACGTATGAGTCAGGATAAGGAAAAATATGTAATTTTTTATAAAATTGAAACTTTATACTTATCCCTACTCATAGTCGAAAGGGCATCCCAACCGTCCATGCTCTCCACTATTTGACTTCGGTCGTAAAAATAGCTGGGCGCTATAATGGAGAGAGTGACAAGCAGCCTATGGTCACGTGGGACGCTGGCGCGGGAAGGGAAGAGGCCCAGTTGGGGTGAACTATATTTTAACTGTTCACTTGGGAATAACAGGACAGGGGTTTCCACTACACCTCGGAAGAAAAAGGAGATAAGCAATCACGTATGAGTCAGGATAAGTATAAAATATCATTTTTTTAATAAAAATTACATATTGTAAATGAAGATGTTTTGCCAATATTGTGATACAGTGAACAGTTTGCCCCCAATGCGTAATTCTCAACTTTCCAGTTTTCATTCACCAGATGTATTGACATAGCACATAGTTATTATTATTGTTGAAGAAGCAGGTCGCAATTGGCTGAGCATAAAGAATTGACAAATCAAGAGGCTTGGTGTATTATCAGACAATTTATGAGTCTAATCCCGGACTGAACTGATATATATAACAACTGAATCCAAAATCGACTGATGGTAAATATCGCGGTACAATACAATGAGGACTGCAGTATACCGTGGTAGTTGTAATGACATGCATTAATCAGGTCACCGCGCCTAACCATCCCATACCCTTTATCTCCTCTTTCAAATGACCTCTGGAGACATCTGGCACACACCACCTGATTTTTGAAAATTTTCTAAGAAACACTGCACATGCTTAGAACCTAGTGATATTGTGTATAGGTTGAATATCCATGTTGGATTGAAGAAAATCAACGACATACGCTATGAACCTTTAGTGTATTTCTCACAAGAACTGGAATAATGAAGGTAACATTCAGTCTAGAAAAAATGAAAATATGTAATGCTTCCTGCAGAAATCTTATGATTCACAAGTTATATATCCATTCTCAGACACATGGCTTCATCTGATGAAACCACGATTTTGTCCTTTTCAGAAGCAAAAGCAGTTTCCTCGGAAGAGGAAGTTCCTGTTCCGAATGAGGCAAACACTGATCTGCCTGTAGATGGCACTGATGATCAAACAACTGGTAGGGGAGACAACTCTGTACATGCAATATCAGATGCTGTTGAAGATGACCAACCAACATCATCGCCTGAAAAACTTGAAACCAGTGAAAAGTCAAAAGAAACAGAAAATGTTCCTAAGGAAGAAACAGAGGAACCATCGTCCTGCTGTGGAAATTGTCTGCGGAAAATGTTTTCAAGTTTCGTAGTTCTCTACAAAGGGTGGCGAACATACATGACGTATGATGTGGCCAACGCTGGACTTGGATTGGCCTGTCTGTACATGACAGTTCTCGGCTTCGATAATATCACTACAGGTAGGTCTGTCTCACTAGAAGTTGTGCCAGGAACAGTGTTGGAATGCACGAACATGTTATCACTTTGTTAATCATGCAGATCCGGATTAGAATCTTCAGTAACCCATGCTCGTCGTAAGAGGCGGCTAGCAAGATCGGGTAACTTGGTTGGCACGTGTCATCATACCCAATCGTGTAAATCAATGCTCATTATGTTGATCATTGGATTGTCTGGTCCAGACTCGATTATTACTTGATCGCTGTCATAGCTGGAATATTGTGGCGTGTGACATGAAACAACAAACAAATAAAATATCACTTTGTGAACAATTTTTCGGGCTCCATCAATTTTGGGTTTTGGTTTGTAAGGTGCAGGATTAGCATGATTATATGCCCACAAAGCTGGATGAATGGAAATATTTCATTCAGGATATACTTGTTATTTTATTGACAATAACACAGAGGGATTCGTTTATTTTAAATGGCAATTATAGTTAATGCAGCTAGTACATGTAAGATTCAAAATGGAGTAAACTTCTGCTTCCCACACTTCTACATAATGGAGACCCGTGAAGATCCGAGTTAGAAATGGTCTGCAGTAACCCATGCTTGTCGTTAGAGGCAACTAAAGGGTATGGGTAATCAGGTTCGCTGACTTGGTTGACACGTGTCAACCTAATCCCAATTGCGGAGATCGATGCTCATGCTGTTGATCACTGGATGGTCTGGTCCAGACCCAATTATTTACAAATCGCCGCCATATGGCTGTAATATTGCTGAGTGTGGCGTTTAACTAAACTCGCTCACTCTACATAATGGAGGAATGCCGTGACATAAGAAAACATTCAGATGTTGTCGAGATATAGTTTGAATTTGCTGTGATCAAAACCAAACATTCACCTACTCTTTTATTGCAGGCTATGCTTACTCTCAAGGAATATCCGAGTCCGTCCTTGGAGGCTTCCAGGGAGGTGCTGCTGTAATAGGCATAATAGGCACCCTGGCCTACCCAGCACTCCGGAGATGTATAGGCCTGGAGAGGACCGGACTGTTCGCCCTCTCTGCGCAGATCACCTGTTTGACGATGTGTGTCATGTCAGTGTGGATGCCAGGCAGCGTATTCAACCCATATTACTTCTTTGATGACCAAAGCAATCAGACAACCTGTTCTACACGAGCAATGTCTGTCAACAACTCGTTGGCCACAGCGTCTCCAATTCCTGCCATGTCTGTTAGTCCAGGCAACAGCACGACACCTGGTGTTCCGGGCTGTGTGGAGGACACTGGTCCAGAGTCATATCTCTCCATTGGCCTACTCATGGCGGGGATTATCACTGCTAGATTTGGTATGTTCCACTATTTCATGTTTATCGGGATTTGTAATGTTTTACAATGTTAAAAACCACAGTTAAGATAATAATCGCATCACTGAGATAAGTTCCTGTTCCTCTCTGAAAACCCCCCATTAAGTTATCAATCATATGATGCTCTTTTGCCATTTTAGCAATATCATGGCGGGAGACCCAGAAATGGGTTTTTATACATTGTGCTTTTGTTTGGAATTGAACCCATCTCATTCTGTACAAGCTGTGATCATTTTCCTAATGATAGGTGTAGCACTGTTTGTTTTGCGAACATGATCATTCCCAGGAAGTTAATATAAGGTCTATGGCATAGTCTTCCCAGTTGGACCCCAGACCTGCCAGACACTATCCCTCTCTCTACTGGTTTTATTTTTTAGCTATTTTAGTTTCAATATTATACTGAAAATACCTTCTACGATTCTCTGTTTCAGGGTTGTGGGTGGCAGATCTCACTATCACACAACTGTTCATGGAACGGGTGAAAGAACATGAACGTGGGAAAGTGAACGGCGTTCAGAACTCTCTCAACAAGTTCATGGATGTGCTCAAGTTCATTCTTGTCGTTGTACTTCCACAACCGCCTGTGTTTGGTTACTTGGTGATTGTATCGTTCGCTTTTATATGTCTTGGCTTTGGGCTTTATGCGTCTTACTCCAGGCGGGCACGAGGTCATCTTCTACCATTCCACAAGAAATGCATCACAACAGAGGAGGACAATCAGGCAGCTGCAGCTTAAAGTTGCCTTATGTGTACCCAGGTTCACAGAGTAATCTCAGCATTACAACTTAGTCTGTATTTAAGTCAGGGAATCAGCACCTGCTTGAATCCATTGCATTCAAAAAGAGGGGCGTTGGGGTAGCCCAGTGGTTAAAGCATCTGCACATCAAGCCAAAGACCCGGGTTCGATTCCCCACATGGGTACATTCTGTGAAGCCCATTTCTGGTGTCCCCTGTCGTGATATTGTTGGAATATCGCTAAAAGAGGCGTAAAAGCCAATCAGCCATCAGGCAGCTGCAGCTTAAAATTGCCTTACATGTACCTAGGTTCACAGAGTGATCTCAGCATTACAACTGAGTCTGTGTTTAAGTCAGGGAATCAGCACCTGCTTGAACTTATTGCTTTCTCAAAGAAAAACTTCAGGTTCATTCACTTTGACCTCATGATGACCTGACCATTGTAGGTCATGGTCAAGGTCAAATAATGTCTATGGTTTATGGAGGCCAATCAGGCAGGTGCAGCTTAAAGCTGCTCTATAGTTCTCCCAGAAATTATTGAGAAAATCTTTGTTTCCTAATACTGATAATAAAATTTTAAAATACGTGTTACATCATGTAGTAAGCTACTCAATATGGGAGGCAACTCTTGTAGGCTTAAGAATGAACCTTACTACATCAAGAGTTATCTTCCCTGGTGTAGCGGACGGCTTCCTTTGTTGACTTGACAGATTTGACATCAGAAGAGAAAAGAAAGCTGGTTCTAGATGAGTTTGAAAGGGTTGTGACTATAAAGTTAGCTGATAGACATGACATTCCTCTGTCTACAGTACACAGAGCTTTGAAGAATATTCAATCAGGAGTTCGGATTGAAAACAAGACAAGGACAGGGAGACCAAGGAAGTTCAATACTACGGATCGCCGTCAACTTGGTCAGATTGAGAGTAGGGGAAAATTGAAAAGTGTTGAGAATATCAGAAATGAGATGATTAAAAAAGGAAGTGCTCAGAACTGTATTGATACTCTTAGGCAAGAATTACAAAGATTTAACTGGGTGAAAAAGCGCGGAATTCTCTCACCATTGATGAAAGATGCGCAAAACGAAAGATGTTTAAACTGGTGAAGGATTCACAAAAATCAAGATTGGGATAATGTTTTCTTTTCTGATGAAAGTTCTGTCTGGCTTTTTCCGAACCGTGTGATCATTTGGACAAAATAAACCGTGAAACCTATCTACCAATGCACAAAACATAGCTCCAAAGTTCACATATCATCACGTGGAGTGACGCCGTTGTGTATTTTCACTGGAAATCTGACGAAGGAACGATATGTTGACATCTTAAATGATCCCCTCCTTCCAACGGTCCAAACACTGTATGAAGATAATTGGATTTTCTAGCATGATCATGGCCCAAAGCACATTGCGGGCGACACAAAACAGTGGTTGTCGGACGAAAATTTTCGAAAAGTTTTAGACTAGCCCAGCTACAGCATGTTCCTATTATGAATGTGTGGGACTAATGAAGGACAGAAAATAACACAGAATAAACCAAAAAGGACTTAGAAATATTAATGATATGAAAAAAGAGATTGGTCGGATACGATGTAACACGATTTCCTACAAACTTTGATCGGTAGTCTACCCTGTCCCATTCAATCATGTATTGCAGGGCAAGGAGGTCTCACAAAGTACTGAAAAGACACTTAGACTGTAAGAGAATCATAGCTCAATATATTCATTTAAGTAAAACTTCGATTATACTTATATACATGTATTAGATATTTGCCAAAACAACTTTCTCAATATTTCTGGGAATACTATACATGTATCCAGGTCCACAGAGTGATCTAAGATTACAACTTACTCTGTGTATAGGTGAATTAGCACCTGCTCGAGCCCATTGGTTTCAAAAGGAGGGGCGGTGGGGTAGCCCAGTGGTTAAAGTATTCGCACGTCACGCCGAAGACCCGGGTTCGATTCCCCACATGGCCCATTTCTGGTGTCCCCTGTCGTGATATTGCTGGAATATTGCTAACAGTGGCATAAAAGCCAACTCATTCAATCACTCACTCAATCACTTTCTTAAGAAAAACACTTTGATCTCTTAATGACCTTACCGTTGTAGGTCAAGGTCAAATAACGTCTATGGTTTCACTATTTTAAGTTCAGGTTAGAGAATGATCTGCTCTAACTTACTGATTCTTGAAGCAAAACATGCTGATTTATTCAAGAAGCAGAGATCATATATGATTAAATTATTTGAAGTATTTAAGAATGTGTAGTCTCTATATGAAAGGTATAAGGGGAAACGTACTACAGAAAGCTGGATGAACAAAGGATAAAATTTTCATTCATGATTATTTTCACTTACAGGTGAGTTTGTCAAATGTACACACTTCACAAGTCTGATTCGAACAAAAATATGTTTAAAATGAAACTTGATAAGCTTGATAAGCCTTTCAGTCTGTAACATGCTGCCTTTTAGAAATGCCCTGCAGAGAATATCTATAAGTATACAAAAGGGGTTGTTAAACGTAAAGCTATCATAGTTCTGTTCAGTGTGATGAAATTTGACTGTACGCATTTCTGTGGGGTGTAACGTACAAACCTGTCAGCCCTCTACCACAAATAGCTAATTTCAAGGGCCCCTACAGGAATATTGAGGACATAAAAGATCAAATAATGGTGCAGTTTACTGTACTATAACATTTCAGAAATAATAATGGTGATCTACTTTCAGTTGTTGGTGATCTATAGGCCGTTTTTATTTTGTACAGTCAACAGTGATGTAATTTTACGATAGCGTACTAGTTTTAAATGTATATGTGTGATACTCTAGTATTTTTACTGTCCTTCGATGACAGGCTTTTACGTTTTAAATTTATTGATTTTAATATTGATATAAATTAAATTGTTCTCGTCACGATATGGCTGAAATATTGCCGATGTGACTCACTCAGAAATAATAATTACATTTGCTTGTATTTCTTGTCAAGAATTTGGTTCCATGAATATAAATGTGCGTCCCTCTTGATGTAATATTTATATATTTTGTGTGTTCTTGACATACATTTCTACATCATGTAAAACTCTGTAAAGCATTCAGTGCTTGGTTTCTGCAACTTGCAGAACTGTGTCATACAAGCCGACATGAACCTACAGTGCTCACACAGTATGCGCACTGGTGATAATGGTAGCCTAAATATAGAAATTTAAATAGACCTCACAGTCAGTGTTAAGGCAGTCAAAGGTCACTTGAAACTGTCCAATCTTATCCTTGGTCTAGTATCAATTACATGACAAATTGTCCCGAAGGTTTTGTGGAAGCGTACTAAACTAATTAATTAATTAAACATGATAAAATGTATTTTCAAAAATGATACACTGAGGAACTAAATGTGATAACACTTATGGGAAAAACAACCCTTGCTGAACAAATAACCTAATATGTAATTTTTACTGTTAATGCATATCTAGTGATTTAACTAATTTTACTAACCCCGAATATCTACAGTCTAACTATTCAGTGTCCCAAACCAACTGATTCTCACTAATCAAACTCCAAATTTCTAACATCTAACTTTCTTCACGGGCCGAACCTGACTGATCTCTAACACCTGGTTCTGAGCATGTGTCGTCCGCTCACAAGCAATTCTCGTGCACTCAGTGTTTATTGACATTTACCTCCGCGAAGCGACTGCTATTCAATGAATGTTTTAAATTCCATAAACACTATCTGAACGAGATGCATTTGAGCGAACTCGGCCGAACAATGAGATACAAGTCTGATTGTTTGTTGTTTAATGTCGCACTCAGCAATATTCCAGCTATATGACAGCGGTCTGTAAATAATCGAGTCTGGACCAGACAATCCACTGATCAACAGCATGAGCATCGATCTACACAACTGGGATACAATGACATGTGTCAACCAAGTTGAAGACCAATCTAACCCTGATCTTCATGGGTTAAAAAAGTCTTGATGCAAACCTTGTGAAAGTGTTGTATTCATGAAAGTTATTTTAGATATAACATATATTTGAAATAGGTTCATCGTGTATATATATACATGATTCAAAGCACCCCAAGTGATGCTACTTTAGAGAATTTAATTTGTTATTCAAACTTAATTGGACATTGTAAAGGAATGAATACAAATTGAAAATTGACAGAGAACAACTATTCAGCTGAGCAAAGTTATCTTGTGCTGGTTCACGTAGCTTTTATTGACTCCTAAACAATGTGGATCTTCTTGATTCATGAAAGGGTATACAGGGTTTTAAATCCTTGCCAGAAATCCATGTGCAAGATATAAAGGATATATTCTCTAGCTTGGAAATATATTCTCCTGCAAGGATCTCAGTGCTTTATCAACATAGGCTGTTTTAAGTTAAACTTGTGTTTGTTATTTTGCTCAGGCCGTATGTGTGTATACTTACTCTCTTTCACAACCTCTCCTACTCGCTCTGTTACTATCAACACTCTCACTCTGTCACTAGTTCTGTCAGTCCATTACGTATGTTCTTGGTTGTGACAAGGTTGGTATATTGCTGACATTATTGTAAGACCATATCCACTCACTCAGTCACAAGCTCTCTCACTCACTTCCAACTCACTATGAAAAGTTGTCAGTCTTCCAAGCTCTCTATTTGATTTTCTAACCTTTTAACTATTATCTCATTCTTTCACTCTAACCATAGTGGTTGGATAGCCTAGTGGTTAAAGCGTTACCTGGTCACGCCAAGACCCGGGTTTGATTCCCCACATGGGTACAATGTGTGAAGCCCATTTATGGTGTTCCCCGCCATGATATTGCTTAGCAAAGTTCCCTCTCTTAGGCCCACCAGAATCTTCGGCTCAAATCAAGGTTTCACTTGATCATGTTTCTAGGCTTATTTTCACCTTATATGTGCTGGTATGGAAATTGTAAACATCTGGATTACTCCAGGCTATCCTACTTCCACTCCTAGAAGTAGCTGAAATATTCTTCAAAGTGTAAAACCCAAAGTCTTATCACCATAGTAAAAACATGG